ATGTATGGTAAGATGAAGCACAGAAACAGGGCAGGTGGAGGAAAATCAGAAACAGAAAACCAGGAGAGGAAGGTGTTTCTGATAAAGCCCCGTGTAGGAAGGCAACACCCGGGGTGCCACCGAGGCCCAAGAGGAAGAACTAGGGGGGTCACAGGGTTTTCTTGTTTTTGTTTTTGTTTTTTGTTTTTTTGTGTGTGTGTTTTAGACGGAGTCTCACTCTGTCGCCCAGGCTAGAGTACAATGGCGCAATCTCAGCTTACTGCACCCTCCGCCTCCAGGGTTCAAGTGATTCTCCTGCCTCAGCCTCCTGAGTAGCAGGGATTACAGGCGCATGCCAACATGGCTGGCTAATTTTTGCATTTTTAATAGAGACGGGGTTCCACCACATTGGTCAGGCTGGTCTCGAACTCCTGACCTCGTGATCCACCTGCCTCAGCCTCCCTCAGTGCTGGGATTACAGGCGTGAGCCACTGTGCCCAGCAGGGTTTCTTGAGTAAAAGCCTCTTGTTGACCCCAAGAGACGGATGTGAGAAGAGGAGAGAGGGATAGGAGCTGCACATGCTGCAGAAGTTTGAGAAATGTGATTGAGATGGATGAAGTAGCAGCAGAGTGTGGACCAAGGATGGCAAGCACAGTCCACCTCAGGACGATTCAGGGACGAGGCTGGGAGTGTGCATCCCCACGCAGCAGGAGACAGGGGTAACGTCCATTTGCCATCGGGACCTCAGGTCAGAGTGACCCATGTGCGCCATCCCCAGGGAAAACTGTGTGTGAAAAGTTTACCATAAAAGGAAAGTGCAGGTGCACGTCAGAGAAAAGCTGTGTGAAGGAAAGCATTTGTGTGCTGTTGTCGCATGGTGGTGGACAAATGGTAAAGAAGAAGGAATGAATGAAGTAGGTAGATGGATGTCCTGCAGGGAGGAGGACCGCACACATGCTTCCTGGAGAGGCCTCCCTGAAAGGGAGGAGCAGCACTTCTTCCTCTGGGACAGGTGAGGAAGGGGGCAGGGAACTGTGCTGGGATTCTCTCAGAAAGGAGCCCCCTGTGACCCCCTCCAGCCAGGTCCCAGCACATGATGAGCCAAAGGTGGACTCACTGTGATCATTCATTTTTCTGACGGCACTTACTAGGCACCTACCACATCCAGGACAAGCCAGGAGCTGTGGGAGTGATAAAGCTAACACCAAAGCAGAATCTTTGGAAGGGACTGCCCGGCAGGAAGAAGACGGGGTGTGGACTCAGAAAACAGTAACACCATGTGGACGTGGGGTTCAGTGCCCAGCAGGCTGCAGGGGAAAGAGAGACATTGTTCTAGAGAAGGAGGAAAAGTGTAGAAAATACAATTACGTAACTAGGGTAGGCAGATCTGTTTTGAATAGACCTTCCATGTTCACCTGGCCTCAGGTAAACCTTGCTGGCAGGGAAAGCCGCCACCCCATTGCCCTGGAGTTTGGAGACAGCAGGCTCAGAGGAGCAGAGCATCATGCAGACGGGGTCCGTGTGGGGGTCCCTTCGTCCCTGCTAACCTTCCCCCAGAACCCAGAGTAGTGAAGTGTTCACGAAGGACCAGAAAAGAAGGAAGACACAAATAAGTCAGGTCTAACACCACTGCTGGGAAAATTCAAGCAGCTCCCCGCAGCCAGCCGGCCAGTAGCACCCTTGCACCACAAGAGGAGTCCGTGCGACCTCTCCCGCTTGTTAATTTCACAGCGTAAAAACGCAGAACACGTACCATTCTAGCTCATTCTATTTAAAGAATAATAAAGCACTAGGTTCCTAAAGGAAGCGTGATTATTTAATTCATTTTATTTAAAATTGAGGTTTGTGGTTCTGTATTCATCTACCCACCACACATTCATAATGCTGTGTGTTTCCAAAGCACAGGGGTGTTTTTAAAATCCGCAGCCTCTGTGGTGTTCTATGGCTAATCAACACTCTGTGCTTATGCATGGGTAACGTCTGCGAGGCCCTGGCTCCCCTAACCCATCAGGAAAGAGTCGGTTCTGTGTTCTCTGAACTCCCAGGCTCCCGGGTCCAGTGCCCCTGCCGTGTGAGGCCCTTAGCGTAGGGTCCAGTCAACCTTCTTTCTCTGGCCTTTCGTGTAGGGTCTGCAGGGTCCAGTCAACCTTCTTTCTCCTCCCACGTGTGTTTTCCTGACCATGCCCATCACAAACGTTTGTAGGACTGTCTGTCATGAGCAACCTGGCCTTTGTTAAATGACTGCATTTTCATGTGTCCTGACTGTGCCTCTGTTTTAACGCTGGCTGTTCTCTTTGCCTCTCCCTGTCAAGTCCTTGCCATGCATGAAAGTGTCCTCAAGTGCCCCACTCCGGGCTGCACGGGGCGCGGGCATGTCAACAGCAACAGGAACTCCCACCGAAGGTAAGCCACGCGTGCGGCACTGGTGTGGGAGGGAGCGCCGGCTGCCCTCCATGCCTCCTTCTTCCCGGGGAGGCGGACTGTGCTCCACATGATGCTCCCCATATACAGGCACCTGCTCCACTTGGTGCTCCCCATAGTGCTCCCCAAGTGCAGGCACCCACGTGCAGCACTGGTGTGGGAGGGAGCCCCGGCTGCCCTCCATGCCTCCTCCTTCCTGGGGAGGCGGACTGTGCTCCACACGGTGCTCCCCATGGTGCGCCCCAAGTACAGGCACCTCCACATAACGTGCGGGAGTGGCAAGCACTCCACGCCCTTGTGGTGCAAACTGAATGGTTTTAGTTGCCCCACCCACCTTATGGTAGCAGGGTATAGTATCAGGAGTGGAAACCATGACCATTTACAATGGCTGGAAGGAAGGAGGCCAAGCCTTTGCTGTCCTCCAGGGTGAAGACAGGGCTGTCCTAGTGCTCATTGGACAGGACATGGCCTGGAATGCAGCAAGCCTATACAGCATGTAGCTTGGCTTGACTGCCCTTGGAATTCTGCGGAAACCCCAGATCACAAGTACCGACATCTTCAGAAAACCTACAGATGTTTAGCAGGCTGGGTGGGGGTCTGTGGGAGGCTGGGGTGCTGGAGAAATAGACTCTGGACTCCCGCTAACAAATGTACTCGAAATCACTCTTTTGTTTGTGAACGATTTCAGTTCTCTTTTCCTGTTCTGTTCAGACTTGATAAGAACTACTCAGCTGCCCATAATATTCCGTTCTTATCTGATAACTTTTTATTTCCAGAGGCCGAAAAGTGATTCTTTTGAAGTTTGTCTGACAGTCTATGGTTTTATGAGTTCACATAAAATTATATCTAAAAGAAGGAAACTACTATAAGCTTCACTCTAATTTTTGTTTGTCTGACTGGTAAACCTGGTTCTTGTGTTAAATTTATAATGAAACAAATGACCACTGTGCCCTCCAGAGACATTCAGGTGTTTAATCTGCAGAAGCAGGAAATGATCGACAGGTTGGAGAGGTGTGGGCTGTGTGCTGTTCGATGCAGCATCCACAGTGTCAGGGCCTCCATCAAACCTCAGCACGGGCGTGTCTTTGGGGTGTGACATATATATGGGGGTAGCGTCTGTGCATATGAGCAGATATGCATGGAGACATGCACAGAGCAGGCACAGTAATTTCACATAAAGTGAGCCTGCACACAAAAGAGCCCAGCTGCTGTCTCCTCCATCTAGACGAAGCCTGAACTATTTGGCTCCACAAAACATTTTATTGCAGTCCTAGAAATCATTCTGCTTTCCTCTCCACTTTCATTTCCCTGCTTGTGGAGAACACCAAAGGGCTAAAGTCAGACAGGCCCCCCAGAGGCCACAGTCAGTAGCATTTAGGAAATCAGCCTGGAGCTCCATCTTCTGGTAACAGTCAGTTCATTGCCATTCATGGGCTTAAAAACAACTCCTACCCAAGCTATTAATTCTTCATCTCCAGAAATGGCGAGCTGTCCAGAACGGAATCTGTCTACCGTTTTCACCAGCTATGTCCTCCCGAATGCATAGAGCTGGGACGCTCTCACTGGGAAGGATTGAGTACACCTCACACAGCACTGCCGCCAGCATTCTCTGCTGGAGACAAGCAGAAAGCATGCACCTAGAAACATGACTACCTCCCCCTCTCCCAGTCCACCCATCAGGATTGCCCATGCCAGGCTTGGGAAACCACCCCTCCCCCACAGCTCCACCTGCATCAGGGTCCTGGTATTAAGGGAGGATTGGTGTCCTGTGAAGGTGTCTGAGGTGGGACCATTCAACCCGCTTTCTGTGATTGCAGCCTCTCCGGATGCCCGATCGCTGCAGCAGAGAAACTGGCCAAGGCACAGGAAAAGCACCAGAGCTGTGACGTGTCCAAGTCCAGCCAGGCCTCGGACCGCGTGCTCAGGTACCCAGCAGGAGTGCGCCGTCCATCCGTGAGCTCTATCCACAGTCCGCTCCACACCTCGGAGCGCTGGGGACACCTGCTCAGGGCATGTCCTTACAGCAGCAGGGACTGGGAGGGGAGGGCAGGGCCGTGCTGAAAGCCGGGGCTGGGACGCCTCACTCCAGGCCAGGCTGTATGAGGGCAAGGGTGTCATTCTCCCCCTGGTGTCTGTGGACTCATTGTGACGACTTACATGAGAGAGTTGGAGGAAATCGTTTCTGATTTTGTTTCTGGACCTGGTATTTCATGAGTCTGAGTGCTAGATGAAAGGGAAGCTTTGAAAATTAATGAGATGCCCAAGGTAATTTTCTCATAATTTGGAGGAGAGGGCCTCGCACCAACCTGCAGGTGGGTGCTGATGTTTCTGACAATGCTAGGGGTATGAGCACCCCACGCATGCGTGTGGAAGCTCTCGCATGCAAAGCCGGCAGAGCTCCCTCCTGTTACGCCCAACACCCTGAGATGTAGGTGGGGGTAGGTATTGTCACCTCCGTTTGGCAAGTGAGAAAACCCAGAGTGCAGAGATGTTAAAAGACCCGAATGTTACCGTGGGTCAATCAGTGTTACAGTGTTACAGATCGTCCGCCTGAAACCACTGTTTTATTTAAGTTTTGGGAGGACAAGCTCCCCATGCACACAGCCCTTCTATACATCCTTCATTCTTACGTGTTGCTTCACATTCTCATCCACGTGAAAACTATGACAATTGCCACATATCCTGCCTTTTCACACAACATCACTGCAGAAACACGCGTCCTTGTCTCCATGTAATCATCCTAATTATCGTCTTCACAGGTACGTATATTCTACTGTTCAGACGTACCCCCCAGTGCCAAAACTAGGTTCTAACTTTGAGGCATTCAGGCTGTTTCCCGCTTTTACTATTAAAGAGAGGGCAATAATAAAAATTTCTTTCATATATACAGCACTTTGCCTCCGTTACTCCTTTGGCTACTCAGAAGGCTGAGAGGTGGGAGGATTGCTTTGAGCCCAGGAGGTTAAGGCTGCAGTGAGCTGTGATTTCACCACTGTACTCTAGCCTAGATGACAGAGCAAGACCCTGTCTCAAAAAAATAAAAAAGTAAATTATTTCTTTAGGATAAATATCTTGGAACAAATAACTGGGCAAACAATATGAATATACTTTTTGTTCTTGAGTATTATTTCATAACATCCCAAGAAGCTTCTAACATAGTCATTAAACTCCCTTCCTCCTTAAATAGAAAAGTTAAAATCTTTATAGAAAATTATAAATAGTTAAGCAAAAATAAGAAAACAAAACCATCTACGACTATCAAGAGTTAACACCTCAATAAACTGTGGTGCAGAGTTCTCTGCATTTGGGGGTCCCGGCCCGAAGTGCCCCCAGAGCACCCATCTCAGGGAGCCGCCCCTTCAGGGAAATGCACCCATCTTCCCTATGGCAAGACCAAATGCTGAACAAGCCATAGGCCACCCTCCGTCTCCCCACCAGCCCACAGCTAATCACTGGCAGCGTGAAAACCGCCCCCACCCACCCAATAAAACAGACCAACCCGCGGGGCTGTGTAATCCCAGAAGGGATCGTTATTAGTCAAAGGAGAATTTGAAAGTTGGTAGGGAGACATTTCTTGCTGAGGGCTTTCAATAATTTTCTTCAGCCTACTTTGGCCAGACCTCCAAGAATCTGGAAGAACTCTAGTACCTGGCCGTTCTTGGGAGTCACCAGGTGACTGCACTGCCCACCTACGGGCTGCTGTGCTCCCAGGGGCCAGCACGGAGTGAGGATTTCAGGGAGAAGCTCACAGCAGCTGGAGACCGACGAGGCATGCATGTAATTGTGAATAGCACCTTGTCCAAACAGCCTCCACTCTGATGTTTTGCCTCCTCACCTTTGGACGCTGAGTTTCTTTTCCTGAAATGCTTTCTTACCACCCCCCAACCCCCGCTCCGCGGATCTTAACCTTAAAAATCAACCCATTCTGTAAAACTGACTTCAAACATCCCTTTCTCCGTTCAAACGTAACTGAATTCCATAGCCTGGAGTGTTCTCTCTTCTCTGGAATTCTCAAAGCATTTGAACCCTTGAAATATGATCACATCACCCATGGTCTTTTGTGTTTTTTTAATTAAAAAAAAAAATTTAGAGACAAGGTCTCACTCTGTTGCCCAGGCGGGAATACAGTGGCACAATTATGGCTCACTGCAGCCTTA